GAATATATTTGGAAAATCGGAACTGTTACGAATTATAAAACCTAGGGGAAACCAGCCTATGATGGGATACTTAACTTTGACACCTTAGTATAACCTCATCTATGATATTAGGGATTTTTTGTGGGTAATTTAAACGAGCAATTATATTGAAATTGATATTAATTCATCAAATTTTCAATATATTCAATATTTATTTTGAAAAAAAATTAGAACCAAAAACCAAGAAGTGTGCCATCATAGGCAGTACTCTTCTTATGATGGCACACCCGAATTTTTAGAGTTTTTTTTTAAATAATGTTAATTTTTATTAAGAATTGACGGGTTATTATGAAAGTAATAAAATAGATTTAAGATAAAGGACTACAATTTGTAGCAAAACAAATCAACAAACGAATAAACTAAATAGAAATCATCAAATAACGAAACATTAAGGCCAAACTTAACAAAAAAAGTTATTCACAAAGTTTCGCAGATGAATTGCTTGATTCTCTTTTCAGTACTCGCGCACTCACTGTGGCACCAGGAACCACAACTCTGACATGAAATCCACATTTCTCTTGTTTTCGACCTAGAGAATACATCGCAATATAAACATGCAACATCGGCTTCATCGTCATCAGTGTCTTCAACCTTTTCATTATCACTGACAAAATCCGTTTCTTCTTCAACCAAAATTTTCCTTTTTGTTTTTCTTGATAACTTTTCCCTCTCCTTTGTTGTTTTTTCTTCTACTTCCTCTTTTAATTCATCAATGTCTGGCGTGGAATTTATATGTCCTTTTTTACTAGGTTTTCTTAATCTTTTCCTTGAAGATCCAAGCGAAGCTTGCGGCAATGGAGATAGTTCATGAATACTATAATATCTTCTTTTCCTTGTTGACGGAAATCTTTCTGTCGTGGACTTAGCTTTGGCAAATCCTGATGTTGAAGGTTCAACTTCAGTAGCTTCTGGTGTTCCAGAGCCTAATTTAGGCAGTTCAACGTCTACGCCTCCTTGTTGTGGTTGTTTTTGACCATTTTGGCATTGGTCATGTTCGGTTAACGGTCTATCGGTTGTGGAAGAGGGTTGGAACATCCAGTCAGGAAATATGTTGTCATCGATGGGATATATTCCTGTTTTGGCAAACGCGTGTACTGCATTTGCGGGTCTAGCAGCCTTCAAATACGCTTTATTGAAAAGACCAGCTACTTGGAAATGTGTGACGATTCTACCAGGATGTTGTTTAAGCCAAGTCTGAATTTCTTGGCCGCAATAAGTTTGGAGAGGTGAAAAAAAACCTACATCCAGGGGCTGTAGCCGGTGGGTACAATGTGCGGGAAAACAGAATAGTATCACACCATTATCTTTCGCGTATTGTAGCACTTCTAGGCTTTTGTGGCTGCTGTGGCCGTTCAATAAGAGTAAAACCTTGTTTTCATTCGAAGCTTTAGTGTAATGTACAAAATGTTCCAACCGCTGTACAAAAATCTCTGAACACATCCAACCGTTTAGTTGACAATAGGATTTGCTGCCCATTGGAGCGTTGACCATCAGCTCATTTTTCATTCTTTTTCTTGGAAATATAAAGGCTGGTTGCACAAACGTGCCCATGGCATTCATACAGCATACCACAGTTAAATGCTGTCCTCGTTCAGCACTAAACAGCGCTCCAACTTGCTTTCGTCCTAGTAGCTAGAAATTTTGTGGTCGTTTTCGTACTACACTGAGACCAGATTCCTCAATGTTGTAAATATTTTCTGGTGGAAAGTTATATTTTTCCATAACCTCGTACAGAGATTTAAAATATAAAGCGATATTATTTTTATTGAAGGCTTGTGCCCGAGCAGCTGAGGTGTTTTCAAGCCTTCTGAGAGATATTTGTGGATTTTGTTTTAAAAATCCCTGAATCTATTTATCACCAACTGTTTCTTTTTCTTTGTTAAAAGGGTTTTTTATATTATTTTTAGATGGAAATTGGAAAATTAACTTCTTTAAATCTTTTAATGTTAAACCGAAGAATTTAGCTTCCATATCCTTTATATGTTGAGCAAATTGATCTTCCATCTCCCGACTAAATACTGGTCTTTTACCCCCAAATCTCCTTTGGTACTGTTACAATTGTTTTTAAATCTTCTGCGCAGTGTGGTAGCAGGGACATTGAAGATTTTGGACGCTAATTGCCATCCCATCTTTTTTTCCCGAACATTTGGCAAAGCCTCTGCCATGTTTTTTTCCTCCCATAATTGCCTCTTAGCCTTACTGGACATTGTACTTGAGGCTGCAAGTGACATTCCTCTGTCATAAAAAAAGACTTCTCAGTTTTTATGTGAGTCAAAACCTTATACCTATGATGGCATACTATGCCATCAAAGGAAAAGCTTTGGTATGCCATCATAGGGAAATTCGAGGTTTTATTAAAATCAATCTCTGTATTTTTTCATTTACAACATAACCCTAAACTGGCACCTGTATTACATGTGTCACATGTATAGAAAACATGAATTAAATTGGTGCCCCTGAGTTAAGCATATTAAGAACATGATTTCATCTTGATTAATGTGTAAAACTTACTTCGAGTGTCAACAATATTTCATTTATTTTTCTGCTTTTCAAGAAACAGCTCTACACTCACACTGCTTCGTAGACATTCATGTACCAGTAAGGACAGCATCTTGAACAAGTGATTTGACCGCGAAATTCAAATGGTCCAAAAAATTTGAAGGTATGCCATCATAGGCTGGTTTCCCCTAACAATTTTAAAGCACTATTTGTAATATAGGTATTCAATGTGCGGCACAAATGATAATTTAGTATCAATGATAACACCTAGATCCCTAAATTGATTAGAACTTTCCACAACATGACGATTTAAGATATCGTAATTGTAATTAATTAGGTTTGTTTTGCCGGTTATCGACATATTCTTAAAATTTGATTTATTAATGACAAGACAGTCTAGTGAGCAATATTTAACAAATGTGTTCTTGGATAAGATACTTTCAAACAATTTAGCAAAGTTTGATAATATAGCTATAGGTCTGTAATTATTAATACCTATCGAACTTATCACCATTTTTGAAAACTGGACAGACTTTCGATATTAACCAGCTACGGGGATATACAGATGTTTTTAGGATTAAATTAAAAATTTGAAGAAGAGGTACTAAGAAACAACTAATACAGTAAGATTAGACTTAATTCTTTTAACGGCCTTAACAACGTCAGACTCATTTATTTTAAAAGGATGTAGAACAGAAGAAGATTCACAGCTAGATTTAAATTGCGAAGATAGGCAGCACTTTTTATCACAGAATTCACAACGAATATTATCACAATACTGACTACATATGATTATCACTAGAACTAAACACACCAGTAAATAGGTGACCAAATGCGTCAACGATGTCTTGCGACGATGTGAATGTGCTACCATCAGAAATCATATTTCCAGGGATCCTGCTATGATTTTCTTATTATTAACAAACGTCCAAACATTTGTTGGATTATCTTTAATGGAATGTTCAGCACTTTTTAAAAACGAACAATATGCAGTACGTATATCATATTTACATATTACTTATTCGCTTATTCCAATGATATCGCTTTTGTTTGATTGTATCGATTATAGATTTAGTGAACGATACAGGATAGTTATGTCGTTTTGAATAGCCACTACTTATAATGGTACAAACTGTGAGAACAAATCAAACAATACATCATAAAAATAGTTACAAGCCGTATTAACTTGTTTAATTTCTTCTATTTTAGACCACTCAAAGCTCGATATTGATGAATAGAGCCCAACTGAATCAGCTTTCTTAAAATTACAATAAAACGAATTTGGATTATTCCGAAAATATGAGCTTTCAACTAGTTTAACCGTAATATTAATACTTAAGCAGGGATGATGTAGATCTTCACGAACTAATGGGAACTCGTCTTTGGAAATGTCAGTGATAACATCCTTGGTTGACACAACCAAGTCAAGTAAACGTGCATTGTGATTTAGAATTGTATTTCGCTGGATGAGGCCATTAAGGCTGAAAAAGTGAAATATTGAAAAGATAGGACATTCCCATGCCATTTAAGCAGTCAACAAATTCAGGGATATTAAAGTCACCTGTTATAAGTACTGGGTGCATAAAGACAATAGTTGCTTCCAAATATTCTAATAGACGATCATATAATGTTGTGTGCAAGTCCTGGTGGGATATATAGCGATATAATTACGAAGCTCTGTAAACTGCTAGATATTTTTACAGCAATTAACTCTATTTCCGGAATAGGTGATTTAGAAATAACACAGCATAGCGAATATTTATCCTTAATAGCTATAAGGGACACCTCCCCCTCTTGATATTAATCTATCGCAGCGAAATACGTTGTATCCCATAGGAAAAGGCTCAGAATTAGCAACTCCTTCATGCAACCATGTTTCACTTAGCAGAACTATGTCAGCAACACTTGCACAAATAATAAATATTTAAATAAGATTGATGTTGAAACAGTCAGCAAAAATAATAATCTGTATATGAACAAAAGTGATATTAACACAACAAACAAGGATGATAAACTGATATTAAACTTTTACTAAAGAAGATTATAATACAGGGTGAGTATTATAATAACGGGACCCTGACCAATTTTCAATGCAACACAACATAGGGTCTCGTTATTATAATACTCACCCTGTATACCTTTGCAGAAACATCAAAATCCTGTATTTAAACAGTTTTTAGAAAAATATACAAACAGAAATGTATTAGACCAGTCGACGACATTGCGTAAAATTCATTTGCCTAAATGTTATACAGAAATCATAGGACAAATCAAATCACAGATCGCGGATAACTATATATGTTGCACGAAACTATACTATACTCAGTCAATACACCTTGTAAATATTCATGACTCGATTATGGCAATAATCTTTGCGGTTGAAACCGCCCGCCGCAGGATTTGGAACGAGAAAGGGAGGGTCGTATTTACTGGAAAAGTCAATCGAAAATAATAATACATAAGACCGACAACAATACGATATATTTAAACACACAAAATTATATTTACATAAGTACACAACACAACACTTACACATACACCAATCAAATGAAATCGTCGTCAGGTTGGGGTTGTTCGAAATGTCTGTTCTATACTTTCTACATGGTTAATGCAATTTCGCCATACTTCTGGAGAAATCGTCTCAACTTTAGCTCTTATTAATTCTACAACTTTTGGAGAACTTTCAGGATGATCATTACACTTTCTAACTTTCCGTTTTAGTTGACTCCAAATTAATTCAATAGGATTAAAGATACAAAAATAAGGTGGTAACCTCAAAATTTGAAATCCATGACTTTTGGCCAACTCCTCTACCGCATATGTTTTAGAAAAATTGTATTTAGAAACGATTCCTAAAAGGTCTTTTCTCGTTTTAGCTGATTCCGGAATATCGATGTTTTTATTTCTAATAAAACTAACAATGTCAGCTTTTCTGGTTGACGAATTTGGAATTTTTTCCGCGAGACGCGAATGTGAGGGCGCATTGTCCATCACAATGATCGAGCCTTCCGGTAAATTTGGGAAAAGTTGGTGCTGCATCCATTCCTCAAACAAAGCGGCTGACATATTTTCATGATAGTCCGCGTTAGAGTCTTTACTATTTTTTACAGAAATTAAAAGTCCATTTTTGAGCCATCCATTTGCACCACCCGCATGCAAAATAATCACGCGTTTGCCACGACGTGATGGCACGTTCATGACGCATTTTCGACTACCACCACTTACACCTTTAATTTTTATATCGTGAGTGTCAAACCACGTCTCATCTAAATACACGATATTTTTGTGATCCTCACGAAATTCTGCAATTTTATTTAAATATTCAATGCTCCAGCGAACGATCCGCTCAGACTCCATTATGTATTGTCGCCGGTTAAATCTCGAAAGCAATAGCCCATGTTGCGAAACAACTTTCTAAAAAATAATAATAAGAGTTAAAAATGACTATTTTCTAGATGATGATCAACCACAATGTTAAAAAACTTCTTTTTAAAAAACTGCCATTACAATGCAATAAGTTCTGCTTACCGAAATTGAGTAATTTTGTAAGGAATTTCAATGCTATCATCTCCCAATTCTGTAAGATACGAACTAGCAGTGGGAACAAAATTTCTTGCGAAAGATTGGTAAATTTTGGACATCACAGCTTCCTTCTGGCTCTCTGTTATTCTTGAAAATTCACCTCGCCGTTGTGTATTTTTTTCCAAATGCCGGTTCCTATGGTGTTACTACTTACTACTCATATTTAAAAGAGTTGATGTTCGCTGGATCGGTGTCTTACAATTTTCAGATTTTAATGTGTCGTAACACAGTTGATAACTTGAGGGTGTAACTTCAGTCCACGTGTTCGTAGTGTTGATGTTTCAGTTTTACATCCGAATCAGAGCTAATCACTACACATGTATTTGCAGAACTTGTAGAAGCTCAAACCCAGATTTACACATTTTACAACTTGAACAATTTATGTATTGATTGCTAAAAAAACTAATTGTACTCATGATAATTAAAAAATAACGGTAATTTTTACGCAAATAATTCTATTTTTTTGGGCGTGGTTGCATGAACACTGACAGGTTTTCACCGTTGCAGTTGTTATAAACTAATCTATATCGCATCCGTGTATTGCTAGGTAGATCCGATGGTTATAAATATAATAAAAGTAATAAAATACTGATATGTACAGGGTGATTTCGAAATATATGCAATAATTTTAACCACGCCATTACGTAACGTAGTCTTACCTAGTGTGGAAATATAAAAAAAATTAAAAATCGAATCGGGCAAAACCCCCATGAACCATCCTCGATACGAAATCACTGATCCACCTTGTAAACAGAGGGGGAAAAACGTTACAATAAAAACGACGTAAACACTTTCAGTTTCAATTAAAAGTAAAACCGACTTTTTGCTGCTTATCATTCGTTCATTCATGCATTCATGCATCGTTAAAGGTCAGTGCGAAAATTTTTTTGTAATGCTTGACTGATGTTTGGTCCTTGTCACAACGATTTTACACTGTCTATTGGAACAAAAATAGGAGCAACTTAGAATGCTACTACTTTTTACAATAAATGTTGAAAATGTTGTAGGTAAAAAACTACCGGAGTTCCACGAATTGTAGCGGTTGCCACTTTCACTTATTATTGAAGCTCTTCGACAGTTTCTGGACACTGTTGATTTCCACAAACTAGCTGTTTGATCCAACCGATACACATTTATCGAAAACCGTCTCTCGAAATCATAATTGTTGACGAGCATGTGGATTTTCATCCGACCAAATGTGAGTGTTGTGGTTGTTGAAAACAGCATTCCGAGTGAATCCTGCTTCATCCGTAAACAAAATGCACTTTAAAAAGTTAGGGAGTTCACGATATCGACACTGCGATAACAATCATTTGCAGTAAATTACACAACGTGGACAAAACTTGCACTTTTTGAACATGGTATGTAAGGATGTGGCTTTGTCCGTTTAATCTGGTTTAATGTACGATGCACAACAAACTGTGAAACTCCAACTTCATCGGGAAGTCGTCGAGTGCTGGTGTCGGGCTCTTCTTCGTCGCGTTCCAAAATTTGTTCTTCAGCTTGCGATATTTATTTTCTCACAGGGATAAAAACATAAATTTTAATCAATATTTTTTACTAAATTAAACCTGGTATCCTACCAGAATTTTATCACAACAGTGTCGATATAAGCTATTACTAAACCACAAATATAGGAGCATGTTACAGTATAAAATTTTGAAACGATTTAATTTTTGGTGACTTTGAACCATCAAATTTCACAGTGACTGGTCTAGCAGTTTCTAGAACCACAAGGATGATAAACTGGTATTAAACTTTTACTAATGAAGACTATAATAAAGATTAATTCTAACATAAATAATGAAGACGAGGATCTGAATTTAGACCAACTAAGCTAAATAAGGTGTGTAACTAATAATCAACAATTTCGAATAAAGCTGAGACTACAGCAAGCAGACAATAATTAAATTTTGGTAAGACTTATACAAATGCAATTAACTCATAACTGCATTAATATTATCAAAGAGAAAAAAAGTTCAGATTCTTTCAAACAATGTGCCAAAGTCATCAAAAGAAGAAATAAAAATATTTCGTAAAAGCATTTACTACATTAGCCTCAAAAAACGGAAGTGAAGAAAGGTAAAAAGTACCACATGTTATAACGTCAAAAAAATGGAAACGGTATTATAGCAAAGAAGAAAATGTTAAAAAAAAATCAAGAAAAACAGATGAAAGAAACCTTCAATCAAAAAAAGATGGAGACCTCAGCACTGGAGATTAGGTACTGGTATTACATAATATGAAATTATATCCAGAAATAATTACATCCTTGAAAAATCTGGTGGAAAAAATGGCGTCAGCTCACAAAATTGGTACAAAAAAGACAAAATTAAAAAAAGAATCACCGCTCCTACTGATAAAAAGAAAATTACGTCATTCCTGAACTGGATGACAGTATTGTTAGTTATATTGTTTATTAAAATAGTTTATTCCTTCATTGAGATATTTTCAGAAGTGTACCAAAATATTCTCTATTTCTTTATTTTTAGAATTTAAGAACATTTTAATACATTATGCTTGTAGTTTTGATTGTAATAAAATACATATAAGTATGAGGTCGTGTCAAAAAAGAACTGCAAATTTACAAATTTTATAATAGGAACAAAAAAAAAACAAAAATATATTAATAGGTATTATTTTTTTCAAAAATGCAGATATTACAAATTAAACACTTGTAATGTAACAAAAAACTTATTGAACGCAAAATAAAATCTACTTTTCTTATAAAATTACATTATCACTTCTTGCTTGATAATTCTGAAACAAATAAGCATAATTATCAAAAGATATATTAGTGAAACAAAAAATGTTGTACCTTCTCGGCAATGTTTCTTAAATTCTCAGACATCAGATTTCCTGTTTTCGTGACTAATTTGTAAAAAGTTTTTTTATTTTCTAATCACACATAGGGATGATCAAATTCAACTGCATACCCTTCATCCATCACTAAAACCTTATCGGAATCCATTATAGTAGGCAATCGATGAGCGATCGTCAAAACAGTGCAATTTGCAAAGCTCTTCCTTATAGTATTTTGCAATAACTCATCCGTCTGTGGATCAACATTTGCAGTTGCTTCATCCAGGATTAAAATATTGTTGTTTTTCAGTATGGCTCTCGCCAAACAAATTAGCTGCTTTTGTCCAACACTGAAATTAGTACCACCTTCTGACAAATTACTATGAAGATTTCCAGACATATTAGAGACAACCTCTTTTAGTCTAACTTCGTCCAACACTCGCCAGATTTGTTCGTCAGAATATTGATCAAATGGATCTAGATTTTTACGTACTGATCCCTTAAATAAAACTGGATCTTGAGGAATAATCGAAATCTTGGGTCGTAAAGAGGATAAAGCTACATCTTTGGTATCTACGTCGTCTATAAAAATATTACCCACAAAGTTGACCAACCGGAACAAAACCGAAATTAACGAAGATTTTCCAGCTCCCGTTCTACCAACAAAACCTATTTTTTCCTTAGGTTTTATAAGTATATTCAAGTTTTTAAGGACGTATGGATCATTCGAGGAATACTGCATAAACACTGACTTAAATTCAATTTGGCCTCTAGCAGGCCAAAGTGACGAAACTGTTTTCACTTGATCATCGTTTTCTTGCTCTAGTTGTGTATATTCAATTACTCTTTCAACTGACGTCATCAAATTTTCAAGTTCGCTCAACATTCGTATTGTCCACTGAAACACACCTACCAGACTCATAGATTTTGTGATAATAAACCCAACAGTTCCACCATAAGAATCTAAGTAAACAAAATCATTCCAAAAAGACAATATTACGTATGCATTTCTTACCTTGAAAAATCGTCATAATTGTGACTGCCGAGGAGTAGCACATACAAACGATATCTAACCAAATTGAGAAAGCTCTATTGGTACCTAAGTTCATATAGAATATAGAGGTGTGAAAGTCTTGCAAATTGTCAAATTCTTTGTGTAAGATGTGTCGAATATCGAAAGCTCTAATAGTAGTTAAGCCCTTAACAGATTCTGTCAAGTGGGCCAAAATTGGACTCCGACCTAAAATTATGTTGTATATTTCTTGTTTGCCTGTTTAGCTTTGTCAATAAACATTTTGATATTGCAATATCAGAACTGAAGCGACCGTCTTTGAATTTCTATTTGTGGTATCTAACACCTTCCAATTATAACAATGACGTTTTGATTTAAATTTCATCTCCCACAAACATATTTAAGAAATGACATTAACAGTAATTTTTGGCTGAAAGAAATAAAAATAATTGTACTTACTTGTGGATTCCAACCGGTTAACACTTAAACTACTAGCCAAGTAGATTTTTCTTATAATATACATCAGTATTAATATTGTAAAGGTAGGAATGAGACTCCAAGGACTAATTATACAGACTGATATAACACCACCAAGAACAGCTATGCTTAACTGGAAAATCGTCAATTAAAACTAGAAAAGTCTTACCTTTCTTTTACCTCAATTGTGTTGAAAATTACACTTGGGGTAAAAGTAGATCTAAATTTCCTATCTCTTTAGAAAATCGATTTAATATTCTGCCCGATGCATTGGTGTGGAAAAATTTCATTGTAGCATTTACAATTGTCGTAAACATTTTGTTGTGTAAATATACAAAAGCACGCATGCATACTTTCATAAAGGATATGGCTCGAGTAAGTGTTGTGATAATTAAAATTCCAATTATGGTAGAGTATAAATAGATGCTATTATTATCAGTAAAAATTATTTCCTCAAACCTATTTTGCATAGTATAATTTTCTGACATTCTTCGTTGTTCCAAATTTACCCTTCAAAAGATTCTATTATGACAATCACCAAAGAATTTCAATTTTACCAGAATGCAAGAAAGTAGTCGGCTGCTAATCCAAAGCATTCACATAAAACAAATGGTACTAGTATTAATAAACACATCCAATAAGAACCACATGCACGCATATAACTTTGATAAATTTTGACAGACACTTTGCCAACAGCTCGCGTTTCACTTGTTACATTCTGTTCTTTATGTTCTAGTTTAGAGAGATTGGTACCATTCATTTCACTTGCTTCATCTTGATGGGTCTTATTTTCTTTCAAAGCATACGTGAAATTATTTTCTTTTAGAAGATCTGTATAACTCCCAGAAACTGAAATTTTGCCGTCTGTCAGTAGGTAGATTTTATCGACAGATGCTAAATACTGTGTCTGGTGTGTTACTAAAATTGTACATTTGCCTTTCAGGTAACCAGTTATACAATTGTTAAAAATTTGCTTCCCTACATTTGCGTCAACAGCTGATAGAGGATCATCAAGTAAGTATATGTCTGCGTCTTTATATACAGCTCTAGCTAAACCGATTCTAGCTTTCTGGCCACCACTTAGAAGGATTCCACGTTCTCCTACTATCGTGTTATCACCATGAGGAAACTGTGCCATGTCGTCTTCTAAGGCACAAACTCTTACAACGTCTTTATATTTTTTACGCAGCATTGGTAGACCAAAAAGAATGTTTTGCTTCACTGTACCTCCAAACAGCCAAGGTTCTTGGTTTGCGTAAGCAATTGTACCACCAGCTTCTATTGACCCTTTA